CTGCTGAGATACCTGCTCATTCTCAGGAGGCAATTTATTCAAATTTGAAATGGATACTTCAGAATTGATTGTTTTTCTCTGAAATGCCCCCAAAAGTGTTGAGCAGTAAACACCCGATCGCCGCCAAAATCATCTTAACAATTCTGCGTCACGTTTACAGTCAGAGTGAAACGTTTTTCCGACTCCCAGCAGTTGATATGTTTAAATTTAGAATGGATACAAATCGAAATTAGGCCCGTCTTCACTATCTCGAGATTGCCAAATATCCAGCTATTTGAACTATCCCGATCGCAAACTATCCAGCTAATTGCGTCTTCATTAGAACGAAGTAGCAAATTAGCTGGATAGTTGGTCGGGATAACATCCCAAGATATCTTGGGATAGTTTGCAAAATATCCTACTATTTGGCAAAATATCCAGCTATTTGTCCCGTGCGTCTTCACTAGCCCGAAGATTCGCAATACACGCTAACGCTGAGCAAAATATCTCGAGCTAATTTCTCAAGGTCGAGTTTCAAGTTTCGAGGTCGAATCTCGAGATAGTGAAGACGCGATTTGTTACTTCAGGATTATTTCCCAAATAGCAGGCTATTTGGCAATCTCGAGATGATGAAGACGCACCTATTGAGTGTTTTTCTCTCAGTTTGAATCACTCCTTGATGTATCACAACACCAGACATTGTAGCAAAAACATCCAAGGAAGCTGTATCAAGTTCCTGCGTCCAGACATATCACTATACAGCAGAAAAACCTCTGAGGGGCCTTAACCAGTCCTAATGCCTAGTTGCTCTTTATCTAATCAAATTTATTTTGAGAGAGAAAAGTTTGCACAGGCTGATCTGAAGAAAAACACACACACAAAAAAAAAACCAGAGGAATTTTCCTTTCCTTAATGCAACCGGAGGAGCAGTATATTATGTGTCTGTTTCATTGACCTGGGAAAGATTAGGCCTACATGACAAATTTATGGTTTACCGCAGGAACGCTTACCATAAAATGTGTTAAAAGCCCAGTGTCAGATGTATATAGTTCCTAGGAGGGTTTGTGGAAGATTAGAAAACGACACCAAAGTCCATTTTAGGCATGACACTGAAAGCGGCTCAAAAATAATTTGCTGCGGCACAACTCTGCATTTAAATAAACGACAAGAAGTGATGAGGATTGGCCACTTGGCCTACTGTACCACCTGACTTTATCAAAATTAGTTTCTTTAACGACGGTATCCGATGAATCTTTATACAAAACAGTTTGTATAAATTTCCTATAGTGTACAAGCTAGTGTGAGCTAGGAAGGCAATTACGTATATGTCGAAAACCATTAACATACTCAAAGGGAAGTCTGGTAATTTTTGTAGGCCTACAATGTACTTTGTAATTGTACACCTACATGAAGATTTCCCCTTATCCCATATGATGTCTTTAGCAAAGGAGGGGCTTTCCCCATATTCCAATTTTACTGTTTATTAGCTGGAAAAGTGAGTGTTATCAAATTGCATTATTTGACCATTTCTAACAAATAGTACATCAATTACAGCATCTTGAGAATTGCATGTGGGGCCTAATTTATTTCTACCATACTTGTAAAGGGTTAGAAAACACCACAATTCCCGTCTAATACTTGTATCAACTTGTATGAATTTGATAACTTCATACATGTATATTCCCTTTGTCTTCTATGTCTTTGTTTAAAATAAATGGTGCTTTATAAAGATCAAGACATTTGTTAGGAGGCTTAGCAGACATATGACTCAATGTTCTTTGCATTGTGATCCATGTTATACTTGTAATTTAATAAACATTAGAATAATTTATACCAGGATACATCTTTTCATAAGTTTAACAAAAAATCTTTTAAGAGAAGTAATTTGACATCCTGCTAGTACATTGTTCTTTGCAAAGTCTAATAATATCCATGGTTATTTTTTGTTGTCTGAAAGGGAAATTTATAGACAAGCACCAAGTCATGAGTCATGAATTTGGTTTCAGAAGGGGGAATTTCAATTGAGTTCCCCCCAGCGTGGTTTCTATTTTGGGCCAAGAACACAGTATTTTGGGTCTATTATCCCAAAAAGGAAGTGTCCCCCCCCCACTGGCTAAATAAGTAAACTGAGCATCTTAGTTTTAAAGATGGATATCTGACATGAATGTTCCTTTACCTGCACGATTTCACCTTGATGTGTTGCATGTCAGATTGACAAGTCACAATTTTAATCATCTTCAAAGATAACATGCAGTCTTTTCATGTAAAAATCTCAATCCTGCTCATAAGCTGCTATAAAACAGGAGTCTGGCTTGATATACAGTTCACAAGTTTTGTAATTTTTTAAGCATGTGACATACATTTATGAAAGCTTGAATCTAAAAGTATTCAACAAAGGCCCTAATTCATCCAGTCCACCTTTCATTCCTGAGTTAGGAAAGACACACAACAAAATCAAATATATATAAAGAGGTATGAGTAATTTAGCTGTTAAGTTATCTTTAAGGTGAGAACATTTGGATAATGTGCATTTTTTAATACTTTAGGGAAGGATTCAATTTTTTTTTTCTTTCTCTAAATATTAGAAGTGATTGTACATGTACAAATTGCCCGTGAAGGGCCCTCTATGTTATCAGTAAATATTGTCAGTTGCAGAGAAAGGAAATATTTGTTATGTTTGTGAAAGGCCAAATACATGCTTTTAAATCATCATGTTTAATACACAGATCAAACAAATGGGGAAGATCCTTATGTTCCCTAATTGGAAAACAATTACACCTTCCATGTAACTGATCAATTTCCATTAATAATTTGTCTCCATTTGGAAATTTCCTGATTTGTAGTCAGACAACGACTACAATTAATACAACTACCAGCAAACATTGAATGTCTACGGATTTTTACCACAGATTCCCATGGCTATACAAACACGGAAGATGCATGCGCATAATTTACAGCTGTTTCTCCTTTTAATGGCCCTATATTAGATGATAAAGCTATAAAGCAGCGACCAACGTATTCATTATGAATGGACAACCTATCCCATTGACTTTCCACTTAGATGCATCGTACATAAACACCGAGCAGAGCTATAAATATAGACATATCTGGCAAACACTGATTTATGGGTTCATACTTCATAGTCTACATATCAGACCTCAAGGTGCGGACAGCTCAGCTCTCTTTAGTGGGTTGATATCTTGTGGCTGCCCACGCAAAGGCCTGTCCTCATCAGCTCGAGTTTGCCAAATAACCCGCCAAAGCTCGAAATTGCGTCTTCACCAGACCGATACGCTCATCACACAGTAGCTCGAATGAGCAAAAATCAGCCTGCTATTTCCCAAACAGCGGGATATTTTTAGAAACATGACCAAAATTTCTTGGGATATTTTCTCGACCACATATCCCGCTAATTGCAACTGCAGGCTGATGAAGTCTGTGAAAGGCCAAAATGGAGACAAATTAAGCTGGATAATGCGCAGTCAGGATAGATAAAAAGAGCGGGTTATTTGGCAAACTCAAGATGATGAGGACAAGCCTTATGCATCTTTAGTGGGTTGATTTCTTGTGGCCGCCCACACAAAGAGTCCTCTTATTCAGCAGATGCTGTTTTCACACCATGCAGAATTTTAGTAGCTTTTTGTGTTTCTCTTGTAGCAAAGAAACCGTTGTAGAGGGATGAGGATTTTTTGTTATAAATTCAATTTGATAATTCAAAAGTCTAAAGTCGATATCAGCTCATCATTAAATACATAGATTAGACAGAGTTAGTAGTGATGGATATTTTAGAAGTCATTTTCAACTTGTCTAATTGACTTGTGGTATTATTTACATTCTTATTCTCATAATAACATTTCCAGTAGCTATCAGTGCATGGAGCAATATTACAACTTTGTTTTATAGTATTAGTCTTACCGGATATTCGAGATATTTCCCAATAGTGTGAAGGCAACCCTGTGTATCAGACTCCTTATGGTTAAAAGTGTATGCTATCTTCACCTCTTTGCACACCGACACATGCTAATGGTACACAGCAGATCAATGGCCAAATGAAGATGTACAGTATTCAAACCCACTGGTTGTGTATACCTCTCACGAGGGATCACCATATCATTACAGCCAGGGCAATTTGGTTTACTGGTTTGTGTGCATGCGAGATGAATGCCTCCCATGATCGTTTGTCGGTGGAAAGAAGAATACTTGAAAGACAGTCAACAGGATGTTTGTAGTTTAACTGTTATTCTGTCTCAAGATGGTGAAAAATATCTTGTTTCTATTAACGTTTTATCTTTTGAAACACATGTAAAGTCCCTAAATATAAAACTAAATTGATCACAATGGCTCTTGATTTTTTTTCTTCACCTGTAGAAAATTATAGAAACATTTATTTAAAAAAAAAAAAAAATGGTGCTGCACTTTTTTTAATTCTAATCGATATTGCCCCCATTTAAGTTTTAATTGCCCAGTGTAAATACCCAGGAGGCAAAAATGGATGATATTAGATATTAAGAAAATAATTAATTGCACATTGATGAATGTGTTAGCAGCAAAACTGTTTTGGTTGGGGGGGGGGGGGTGGTTGTCAAGGAATTGATGTATTATAAAGCAGATTAAAAAGAATGCTTTCTTGTTTTCCTTCTTCACTTTGTTGAACATTGAACAGCTTGTTAACCTTATGAATCAATTGATACTTTCACATTCTTGAAAACCTTTTGGCCCGAATTCACAAAGGAGGTTTGTTGACAATGTATGTGCGTCATATGACGCGTTTTGACCAAGGTTTGTAAGAACGCATCAAAATGACGCATATAAACCTAGCTTTGTCAACAAACCTCCTTTGTGAATTTGGGCCTGTAAGTTTCAAACCATCAGAATACTTCAACCAAGAATAAAAGGATATATAATTTTGTGATTTAATTGAAAATAACATATTATGGCTACATATGTATATGTCATTTGTTAATATAGACTTGTGTATTTCTTTCTGGAATATTTACCATGATGTTTTCTTCTAATTTCAGATCGTTTGCCACCAAAAAGCTGGCTGCTTCGAGGAAAGGACAACGAGGAGGCGGTCCAAGGAAACACCAAGGGAAACAGGACAGTCAGGGTTCATCGGATGGCACTGGTACGACCACCAACACTACCACCAACACCACCACCAACACCAACACATCCACAACACCATCATCAACAAATCACCACCCCCACACACACCACACCGGGGAGGGCGTCCCGTCCTCCCCATTCTCAAGAGATAGAACTCCAAATGAGACGGGCCTGCTCTCGCTAGAGAGCGGGATCGTCTCTCCTACCTTGACAGGGATACCCCCTGCAGACATTTATGATAGGCTCAAGCCCAAAGGGCTTATTGATGGCCTCAGTAGGTTTTTCACGCCGACCAACCGTCGCAAATCGCGCAGCTCGTCACAGTCCTCCGCGTTCTATGCCATCCGGCCATTCCGACCTAAAGTGAAGCACAAGAGCGAAAGCGACAGGGATGCCGTGTTTTCGGCCATTTTGAAATCGCGGAGGGATGTGTTAAACAAGGAGAAGGATAAGAGATTGAAAGATAAAGAGGGAGATACGATGGATGACACTTCTGTGGTTGAAGAGAAGGAGGAGAAGGAAGATAAAGTTGTACGGACCGCAAAAGACGATGTGAAATACATCAAAGATGCCAAAGAATCACCTCCGTCGTTGTCACCGTCTTTGAAAAAGTTGGCTACGCAAGCAGCGTCCGAGGACACCAGGTCACATTCAAACTCCTCCTCGCCGCACTCCCAAATGATGAGAACGGGTAATATGCAGTTGAAAGGTTTGTTTGATGGGCTATCGCACTTGTACGTTGCGCCCGCCTCACCTCGCAAACGTGGCTTACCTCCTGTGTACGCTGTGCCAAAGAGGTCAAGGAAAATGTCATTTGATATGTTCGGTAATGACGATGATATGTTCAAAGTACCCGCCGCCGAGGAGAGTCCGGCTTTGTCAAAGGCATCTGAATCGCCCTCGGTTTCCCCGTCCCCACCACTATCTACGGACACCACCCCAGTCAAGGGACAACTTACACCAAAGAATAGGAAGTTGAAAAAAATGAAAGGAGGATTATCAGCCAGTGCTTCAAAGATTGTGAAAAAGGCTCGGGCAATGGGATCGAAGAAAGAAAAGAACGGAGTGAAACTTACGACAAGATGGGCAGTTATGAACAAGAAACCAGGAAAGCTCAAGAAAAAGTTGTTGGAAGATCCAAACACTGAAGATCCAAACGATGCGGATGTTCCCGCTATGCCCAAGCTGGAGAAGGGCGTCGTCAAAACGAAGAAGATCATCAAATCCGGTGAGAAGATCATCAAATCCGGTGGTAAGAACTCTCTCCTTTGGTGATTGCTTGCTTGCAGTGCTTCCTTATGTAGATCAACACCCTCCCTTCCTTCCACCTTCACCCTGCCTTTCATCTTGCATGTTCCTTCATTCACTCCCTCCCTCAAGAAACTGTAACTTTGTGGCCTTTCGCTGGCTCTTTTGCAAACTCCTCACATTTCTGTTCTTCTCTCCAGTAGATCCTTCTGATAGAAATAGCTTGCAGTGTCTCACAAGGCTTCCAGATAAACATTTTCACACTCTGTGCTTGACCATTAAGCAGGGCTCCCACTTAGCCGAGTTGGAGCCTCGAGTTGTGGCGAGCTGGCGCGATGTGATGGCAAGCCGTTATATCATTAAAACATAATTTTTGATATCAAGAAATAATTTTACGTTGTAAAGCAATGGTAATTCTTGATATCAAGAATTGAATTTGTGATATCAAGAATTCGATTTCGTGATATCAAGAATTGAATTCTTGATATCAAGAAATATGTTTTAATGATAAAACTGCTTGCCATAAGATCGCGCCAGCTCGCCACAACTCGAGGCTCCAACTCGGCTAAGTGGGAGCCCTGCTTCATAGCATCGTCTAATTACTCAGCATTCTATGGAACCCCTTGTAACCACCTTTTCCTTCTTGTCTCCTGTCCCGTCTCTTTCCTGACAAGTCTTCCTGTCAAGATTTTCTCCTTATTAAGACAATTTAGATTCTGGTATTGGAATCTTCATGTTTTGATACCTGAAGTCATTCCGCATTTGTGGTCAAATCAAGTAGGAAAAGAGCAAACAGACAGACACGAATCAACATCATTTTAGAGAAATTTTGCAACATTCACAAAAAATTATATGAGATGCTCAAATGGATCATCAAGTTGTTATATTTCCATACCCCCCCCCCCTCCCACCGCCTCATCTCCATTCATTCAATCATTCTTCAAACCATGTTAGATTGCCGAAGCTCATAATTTTTATCCTTTTACTAACATTTCATCACTAGATTTCACTGAGGTATGATTTGTGCTGCATGGTATATTTAACACCCTACACCAAAGTGCTTTTATTGCCTATTGTCAATCATGTGGACATAAATATTTGCCATGGTGCTGATTTATGGTGGTTTTCCATATATCATATTTGAATGAAGCAGAATTGTAACTTGTATTTACTACAGTATCTTGTTTCTTACCTGACTGCGCTCGTGGCCAACATTCTCATTAAAAATTTCTCAAATGCTTTTGATTTCCAGCAATGTTTGTAGTACTTTAAAAATGCAAAGTGCTGTGTAAATCGGCACAGCAAATTTGTTAATACTTTTCATGGATGCCAATCTAAGGCCTTTTAAATTGAAAATAGGATAAACTAGTTGGTTCCTCAGACAGCGATAATCCTTTAATGTAAGGAAATAAGCCACATCAACATCAATAGTCATATTTTTGTTGAGTGGAGCTTGCACTGAATATTACACTTTTTTTTGGGGGGGGGGGGGGGCAATCTTGGAGTGATAGATGCAGAATGTGATTTAAAAAAAACAACGTTATGAGGTCATTTGCCTCAGAGATTTGAATTGCGCTCTCTCTCTCTATCTCTTTCTCTTCTATCTCTATCTCTCTATTTCTTTTTCAAGAAAATAGTGATAGATATTGGATAACTTTGATGGCTTTAAAAAGGATTTAGATTAAGAGGGAGAGAAAAGGAGAATGAGAGAGGTAGAGAACAAGGGGGGGGGGTGAGAAGAGCAAATAGCAAGGAGGAATAGAAATAGAGGGAGAAAGTAGAAAGAAAGAGTGAGAGAAGAAACAGAAAAAACAAAGAAGAGAATGAGAGAAATAGATAGAGAGAGAGAGAGAGAGAGAGAGAGAGGGGGGGGGGGGGGGGGAGGGCGAGAGGGAAGAGGAAAGATGGGGGATGGGGGGGGGAAGAGTGAGTGAGAATATGAGATGAGAATAGATATTGTCTGTGACAATTGGCGCATAGTCCCCCATATACTGTAATTTATGTACTCCAGTGATGTGTACACTTCTGTCTTTTCAGCTACTACATCATAACACCGTATCTCCTTCTACAGATATTGATTGAATCTCATTGGTTTCTCCTTCCTGTCCTGGGGGTGGAATTTTGTTTAAGTGGTTTTGTGGGCTGTGAAGGATTCTTCTCTATTGGTTTTTCACTTACCATATTATTCGTCTTGCCCGGCTGCCTCTCGAAAATGCGCCTCCCCCCCCCCCCCACGAAAAAGAGAAATAAAAAACGTTTAGCCACAGATTGCTGTCATCAAAGCAACTTTCAAATCAAACAGTTGAGTAACCCATCATATTAAATAAAAATTACATAATGGAGGAAAAAGAAATGATTTATGTTCATTGAGACACTCGGAGAAAATTTTAGCAAATAAATTAGTTTTAAATAATATGGTTAAGCTTAGTGCTAAGTTTGGATTAAAGAGAAATAACAAATTTTTAGCCACAGCTTGCTGTCATCAAAGCAACTATAAAATATAATTGTTGAATATAACCTATCAGACACTGGAGAATATGAGAATGGAAAATATTCAATACAAATTACAATATGGAGGAAAAAAGAAGTTGATTAAACAAAAACCCAAGAAAAGAAAATTCTGATTTTTAAATGTTTTAATTTAACGTAGATGAAGATCTGTTTAATAATTAAATGGGATTTGTTGTGCTGTCATGGTTTGCGGAATTTTTCAATGCTCAGAAGCGGTAATCGAATAGCGATTGATATTAATACTTGAGGAATCATAAGATACAATTATTATAATGGTATGTGAAAATAGAGAAGAAAAAAAAAAGGTGGGTTGTAGAAAGAGAAGAGAGGGAGGGGGAAGAGAGAGGGGGAGGGAGAGAGGAACATAAAAGAGACATTCAAAGGGGGCGGGATTTGGAGGCGACTTCAAAATATCAATTTCTAATTGTCTGCAAATGATGTCTTATCTCAGTTGTTGCTTTTCAGACTTTAGTTTCAAGAGTTTAGATTCAAGATCTAGTTTTCCCTTTAATTTCCATCCACTTAGTGTTTGGTCCATTCTCATTATGTTCATTCTTCGATGTCACATCCTGCCCTTTCTCAAATCTCTTTCTCTCTCTCTCTCTCTCTCTCTCTCCGGCTTGATTTGCTTTCGGGAGTCATGGACTGTCAACTTGTCCAAGAGTTATCGTATGGATCATAACTCCAAGCTAATAATATCTCTTCTCTTCTATTTCTATCACCCTCTTTGTCCCATCCCCTCTCTCCCCCCTTCTCTCTCTCTCTCTCCCCTTCTCTCTCTCTCTCTCCCCCTTCTCTCTCTCTCTCTCCCCCTTCTCTCTCTCTCCCCCTTCTCTCTCTCTCCCCCTTCTCTCTCTCTCCCCCTTCTCTCTCTCCTCCTTCTCTCTCTCTCCCCCTTCTCTCTCTCTCTCCCCCTTCTCTCTCTCTCTCCCCCTTCTCTCTCTCTCCTCCTCTCTCTCTCTCTCCCCCTTCTCTCTCTCTCTCTCCTCCTTCTCTCTCTCTCTCTCCCCCTTCTCTCTCTCTCTCCCCCTTCTCTCTCTCTCTATTTCTCCATTAATCCTCCTCTTTCTCTTTATACTGTATACATATATATATCTATCTCTCCTTTATCTCTCCTATTAGTACATTATTTGTTTCTGTTGATATCCTACTGCACCATGCTAATACGCTTTTAATAATAATTTGATTTGCACTACTTTCATCTGTACTCTCTGAAACTAATTCCTTACATTTACATGTACATGTATATGCAATCAGAATGATATTCATATTGAGGCCTACTCTGATATAGTGATAATGGAATCTTATGTGACTTCAGTAGCTATGCCTTGAAAATTCTAAGCATCTGAACATGTTCACTTTATATTAACTTATTTGTTGGGTTTAGAATTCACTGCTAATGAAGATATGAACTCACTCTAGCATTTTCATTTTATGACTTAAACCCAGCCATGTTTTGAAGTAGGTAAGAAAGGAGAGCCCTAGCTCTGCCTGTAGGGGTATATAGATATTTTCTTGTAAGGCTTGTCCACATTTAGCAATGCAAATCGTTCCACTAAAAATATAAAGTATGAATTAGGCCCGAGTCTAAGACAGTTCACCGCCTGGTCCCCGACAGTCATCCTGAAACCAGGGTTTTAATATTCAATGTCGGGTATTTCAAATTAGATTTCACACTGATATTTTGCAATTTATAAAGAAATCAAAATATACAATTCACAAACTTAATTTCAATTTCATAAAATAAACATGCTTTAGTACTATAAATGAGTGGCTAGTTAAGTATCTGTGAATGTATCTGTGTTCAACAATTGGTGGTGTGTATACTCTCTCATCTGCATGTTTGAAGACGTAGAAATGAGAAGAGCTTCATGTCTATAACACATGGATGTAGTTTTGTCGTATTTGTACGTTTTCTTTGACATATGTGAAAGAATCTTGAGAAATGCTGAATGCTTTGGAAGACGGAATGCATTTCAAATCTAGTCTCGGTCATTCAGACATTTATCCAACTTCGTAGACCCTACACTTACGGGCTACAGGGAATAGAGTGAGCTGTATATATTGTCTATTGATTTGGCCAGGAGCCATAAAAACAATAGTGCAGGTAATTTGTTTCCTACTTGTGCAAAGCAACAATGAATATATAATACTGTACATGTAGATAAATGTTCCCCCATAATTTGTTTTAATTCTACCTGTCATATACATGTATGAACACAATGGGTTCAAGTGAATGTATGTTTGTACTCAGTTTGAAATTGTGTAATAATCGTGAAAGCGAGATATAGTTGAAAGAATGCATTTCCTTTCCCATCTAATATACTAGCAATTACTCTATCAGCCCGTATGTAGACTACAATCTCAATGGACTTCAATTTGTGAGTGGCGACTTCTAGGAATAGATTGGATGGGGTCTTTGCTCGCAAACTTCGCATTGCCTGCTGCAACGACCGACCGACCGAGAAATAATCCCTGAAAAGTTGTCGTAAA